TGACTGTTTTATTCCACCAGCCATGATGCAGTTCCATATATATATATAACATAGCCATGGACAATCTTAATTCGATTTCCTTTTACGAGGATGTGTATATCTACGAAGGTGTATGTATGTATTTATGAGGTTAACTTATATAGCACTTTGGAAAGCTATTTATGATGTTAAACCGAAAAAAAGAGACTTCCAACGCTGGAAAATTCAAAGCTTTGGATATTTGTTTTTGTTGGAGTTTGTATGCAAATTGTCACATATCGTTAGTGTATATATTATCAAGATACTTAATATTATATTCTTCATATTAATAGTTATTTGGTGTGAATAATATGTTTTACAAGAGTGCATCCAGGTAAAATGGTTGTTGAAAACATATGAAGAGGCCTCGGGACAAGCTATAAATTACACGAAGAGCTGTGTCGCATTTAGTGCGAACTTGACAGAGTACGATAAGTAACTTCTGGCTAACTGTCTTGGCATGTCTAGAGTGGATTACCATGACCATTACTTGGGTTTACAGGTGTTTGTGGGATGGGCTAAGAAGCCAAAGTTCTCGTATATTAAGGACGGGTTATTTAAAAAATTAATTGGGTGGAAAGGTTCCATGTTGAGTACTGCGAGCAAGGAGATTCTAATTAAAACTGTATCACAATAAATACTGATTTATAATATGCAGACTTCCCTTTTGCCTAAGACGTTTTGTGATGAACTCAATCAAATGGTGGCTCAAAATTTGTAGGGCCTTAACATGGCAACAGGAAGATACATTGGATGAAATGGAGTAAACTTTCAAGCCAAAGGGTGAAGGGGGGAGGGGGGGGGGTTTGGGTTTTAAAGACCTTTATGTTTAATCTAGCATTACTAGCAAAGCAAGGATGCAGGTTATTATAAAATCCTAATTCTTTTGTGTCGCAAATACTCAAAACAGAGTATTATCCTACAACTGACTTTGATCATGCTACAATTAAGTCGAACGCTTCATATTGCTGAAGGAGTATCGCAACTACCCGTCAAGTGCTAGGTGGTGGGTGGGGGACGGATCACAAATTAGGATTTGGGGAGAGATGGTTGGTTGCCAAGGCCCCATTTTCCCATGGTGTTGAGCCCAATACCCCAAGTTTGGGACACCACCTGCACGATGGGTATGTTAATGCTGCAAGGAGGTGGAAAATGGAATTGGGAAGTTTTGAGAATTATCTTCTTTGAGGAGTGTTGGAAGTTCAAATCAAATACAGAAGCCGAAAGTAGTGGAACACTTTCAGAAATTGTTGGAAAACTTTTCAAAAAGTGGTGAAACTATTTTTAGAAAAGATGCATGTGTGTGTGCATCAAAAGGTGGTGCATGTGTGAAAGGGTGTAAAGATGGTAAACACCATCATTGATTGCATGTGTGTGTGTATTTTTTTATTAAAAAACACTTGAGTGGTTTGTAACTTTTGCATGTATATAATTAAGCCTCTTGTAAGGCTTTAGAAAAATCTATCCGAATTCCCATTCCATCAGAATCCCATTTCCATTTCAGCTTGTAAGCAATTGAGTTTGTAAACTCTTATTAAATATATCAAAGTGTTTGCTTGTTTACCGTGCAGTTTGTCCAACACAAAAAGTTTGCTTCTTCATTTACTTCTTTTTTTCCTTGTCCAATTGTATTGAGAGTAATAGTGAGAGGTGTGATAAAGTTAGAAAACTTATCACCCACATATTTTTGGAATTGAGTTAGTAAACTTTGAAATACCAACAATTGGTATCAGAGCCAGATTACCTTTCTGGCAAGTGTAGTAGCTATGGCATCTAATTTAGTGCAGCTCCAAGTTCCCACATTGAAGAAAGAAAATTATGAAAGATGGTGCATCCAGTTCAAAGCATTGTTTGGATCACAGGACCTATGGGAAGTTGTCAGTAATGGGTATGATGAACCCACTACTGAGCAAGAAGCTGACTACACTACAAATCAAAGGAATACTCTCAAGGACTTACGAAAAAAGGACAAGAAGGCACTATATCTTCTATATCAAGGATTAGAAGATTCAACGTTTGAGAATATTGTAGAAGCAACAACCAGCAAGAAAGTTTGGGACACTTTAAGCACAATTTACGAAGGAGTAGATCGAGTAAAACGAGTTCAGCTTCAATCATTAAGAGCAGATTTTGAGGCTGCTCATATGAAAGAAGGAGAAAACATTTCACACTACTACTCTCGACTACTTGTAATTGTGAATCAAATGAAAAGGAATGGTGAGAGGCTTGACAATGTTCGTGTCATGCAGAAAATCCTTCGGTCATTCACATCCAACTTTGAGCATGTGGTGACTGTCATCGAAGAATCCAAGAATTTGGAGACGATGAGTGCAGAGGAACTGCTAGGATCCTTCCTAGTTCATGAACAACGCATTTAGAAGAATGCAAGCCCCACAACGCTAGAGCAAGCTTTGGAGTCAAAGTTGAATATTGACAAACCAAATGAAGGTTGTGGACAGTGGAATTCATGTCGTGGAAGCTCAGCTGAGGACGAGGCCAAGGAAGAGGTCGAGGCTATGCACAAAACCGAGGTCAATCTCAAGAGTGGAGATCTACTCGAGGAAAGGCGCATATCCAGTGTCATAGTTGCAAGCAATATGGACATTATGCCAATGAATGTTCATATAAAAATGGTGAGCATGTCAACATGGCAGAATCAAGTGGAAATGCTGGTGAGGAATTTACAGTCTTACTAGCATACCATAATATCAGTAGCCAACAAGATGTTTGGTATTTGGACTCTGGTGCAAGCAACCACATGTATGGAAAGAAAGAGTTTTTTTGCCGAACTCAAAGATGGGCCTTATGAATCTGTGAGTCTTAGTGACTCCTCAAAGTTGCCACTTGAAGGCAAAGGAAAGATCAGAACCATCCAGAAGGATGGTAGAGAATAATACATCTCCGACACCTACTACATACCAGGTATGAAGAGCAACATTCTGAGCATTGGTCAACTGCTCCAGAAAAGGTATGTCATACATATGGAGAATATGCTTCTCACTCTCAGGAATGCAAGGTGAAAGCTTATTGCACGTGTTTAAAAAGTCAAAGAACCGAATGTTCCCGTTGAAGTTGAACACAAAGATTGGAAGTTGCAACATTGGTGTGATGGAAGATGAGTCATGGAAATGGCATCTTCGGTTTGGCCATCTTCATTTCAATGGCCTAAAGTTATTGTCAAGTGGAGAAATAGTTCATGGTCTACCCCAGATTGAAGCCACACACCAAGTATGTGAAGGTTGTATGCTTGGCAAACAAGCACGACTATCGTTCCCTGTTAGCAAGGTATTAAATATCGATAATATCGGAAATATCAGTAGTCCGAAAACACGGAAATATCGATGGAAATATCGGGATAATATCGATATCAATAAAAATTACATGGAAACCACGGAAATTGTAAGAAAAACTTGGAAATTTTTATTGAAACTTTGCAGGATGTTTATTTAGTCAATTATCTATTAGTTTATCACAAAAAAATTGGAAGGAAATGCATTGCATGATGGATTTAACATTATCAAGTTGATTATATAGCGAGCTGACAAACATTGTGAGTGTAGAAAATATGTAGTAATTAATGAAAGAAGTCTAAACACACCATAATCATTTATATATAATGAATTAGTATAATATTTTACACTTTATACATTGCATGGTAAGATACATGAGTGACTTAGTACCACATAGAGTTCCTATGAGGTTCAAATTTTCCACTATCTTCATCATCTCTATGTGTAGAATGAGTGTATTGTGAAGAGTAGTTATCAAATGATAAATCCCCAAAATAGTTTTGCATGTAATTGTTAACATGCCACCCATATGGATCCGAGATTGGTTGACGTTGTCCATAAGCAAAATCATTTGAAGATTGAGTCTCGGATTGTTTCCATGAGTCGCTCGATTCCATCCCAACAGGAATGGGATATGAAGGGTAGGGAAATGGTTGGTTATGAGTATTACCATAGTTACTACTTCCCACTCCAACAGAGTCCGAAGTTCTAGATAACGAGTCATTTTCTTGACTTGACAAAATCCCATTGCCTCTTTCTCTACGAGTATAGTCCTTCCCTATAGCACAAATTCCTGGTCCTGCCCGCCTACTGCCATGGTCATCATCCTGTGTTGCATGCGTGAAGTTTGCTTCACCAGTGAAGGGGCTCATAAATCCGGGAGGTGGTCCAACATAGTTTCCATATCCACCACCACTACCTCCAGCTCCACTATATCCTTCATCATTCCACCTCCGGTGGTAGGCGAGTCTTCTGATCTTGTACTAGAGCTATCATTAGTATCAGCACGATGTTGTGGTTGTGTAGGATTGGAAGAAGGTGGAATTCTAGTGTTTCTTGGTCTTGGGGGCAAAAGTTCTTCTAAAGAGTCAACGCTGCTAGATCCCACCTCCTCCTCTAATACTCTTTCTACATTTATCCCTTTATTACGTGCTTATTCAGCAACTCTAGGAGCTGAGTTGCCTTCATCATCATCTAAATGAAGAGGTCTAATCCATTGATAAAGTTGGTTACCCTCTGTATCTGTATCATCATCTTCACCAACAATATCAAACACATCTAGTGGGTCACCACGGTCGACATGATCTATTTCTGCTTCCTTATCTTGAATTTGAAGCTTCATGTTGTAGTAGCAATAAACTAATTTTTCCAACCTACTATGAGCCAACCTATTTCTTTGCTTTGTGTGTATGAGTGCAAATGTGCTCCAATTTCTTTCACAAGCAGATGAGGAAGCTGTGTTTGTGATAATACTTTGATTGCTAACTTTCTCACAGTTGGTGCATCGGTCCCATACATGATCCACCATTCAGCTACAATGAAAAACAATGTTGATAAGCCTAATAACTCCAGCAAATTCTATTATAAACTTATAGTGAAATATTTTTACACTCACTAGGAGACATTGTTGTTCGAGCAGCAATTGATGTTGGTTCTCCAAAAGTTCTTCTTGCATCTTTAAACCATGTTAGCTGAATTCAATAAATCGTGTTAGTTTAATCCAACAAAGTAATTATTATAATTTAAGTAATTGTGTACCTCATTTCCAAATTGGCCAACTGCTGGTGATGCAGGGTCTAATTTAGAGTATACATTATGTACAACACGTATAAGGGTACCATCATCTCCAACACCGGGTCTATATTGGTATTGAGGATTCAAATAATATGTTGTTCAAAGAAACACATACTCTAATAAGAGAAATAATACTTATGCAACTAAAGAAATGAATTGCAAATTATGACATAATTTATACCTACTGCATGCAAATCGTGGTATAATGTTTTATACCATCGGTCTTCAATTATCTTATGACCCACTTTGCACCATGTTTTCTTTCCAATTCATCCTTCATTACACGCATCAACTTATATACTGCCCCTATAGTAGGATACACTTCTGTGTCAACGATCCGTAAAACTTTGTAAAGAGGTTCAAACACTTGACACATATGTTCTGATTGAGTCCAAAAAGCATGATTAAGCACTATACTTTCCACCATACGACCTGCATTTGAGCGGCTCAAATTGTGGTTGGCCCAATCGTCACTAGTGAATAGTTGCTTCAACCCTGCTTTCTTCTTAAGTAGGCTGTCTAATGCAATATAGTTGGTGGTGAATCGAGTGGTAGCTGGACGAATAATTTCTCTTTTGCAAAATTCATGCATCTTTACCAACAGCCAACCGTGATTGTAAATATAATTTGTGATCGTTCTAGCTCTTTTTACCACAGTAGCAACATTCTCTCTCTTCCCCATTGCCTCAAACATGAGATCAATACAATGTGCTGCACATGATGTCCAAAACACATTATGATGCTTCATTAACTTTTTTCCAGCTTTGACAAATGCAGAACCGTTGTCGATCACGACTTGGACAACATTATGCTCTCCCACCTCCATGATTACATCCCTCAATAATTTGTAAATATACTTCTAGTTCTTTATATGGTCTGAAGCATCAACAGACTTAAAAAAAATTGTCTTTCCCTTGGAGTATACCATGAAGTTTATGATAGACAATCTGGTCGGGCCAGTCCATTCATCACACATGATTGTGCAACCATTAGTTTCCCACTTTGACCTCAACTTGTAAAATACTCGCCAATGTCTTTATACTCCATATCCAAAAATTTGTTTCTTATCTCATAAGGAGTGGGAGGTTGTACTCCAACACCGGCCTGTTGACATCCCACTACCATATTTTTTAAATGATGTGATGATGCTTTCTCAGCAGGGACATTTTCATAGATAAAGAACTTGCTAATTAGACGCCCCATTCCCTCCTTCACATTACCTCCAGTGAAATAACTCCAAACACTCTTTTGACGTGCTTTGGATGACTTATATAAACTTGGGGCTATTGGTGGTGTTGGTTGTGATTCTCTAAGACTGCCTCCCCGTCTCATTTGTGCACCACCACTTGTCCCGGAACCTTGTGCTCTATTAGGAATTTTATGAAGGTGTTCTCTTTCCCATGCTGACTGTTTGGAGACACGTAATGCTTGTTTCAAACTGCGTCGTTCTTCAGGTCCCATGTCATCATCACATTCGTCCTCATCGTCATCATCATCACTGTCAACCGCTTAGCCAATGACTTCTCCTCGTAGCCCAGCTCAAATATTTTCCATTCCATGTGTTATCTTTTCCTTCTGCTGTTTTTTTTTATTTTTTAATAATGTGCTGATGAATGCCTTCACTTCTGGGGGACATTATCGCATCGTTGGACATTTTTTGCTGGATCTAATCCACTAAGATGGTACTTAAGTCGTGTCACTCCGCCACTCTTCATTACCCGACCACAATATTTGCAAATTGTGCCATGTTTGTTTCCGTCTATTGGGTCTCCATGTTCCCAAGCTGGATCACGTTTAGTAACTCCACTGGACATCTTAAACGTACCTATATTTATTTTTCATGAAAATTAGACAATTATTTTTTGGCCAAAAAATATAGTAGTGATGACGGTTATATAAGAGAACCTAAATAATAATGAATAATAATCCAATTTAATAATAATCCAATTTAATGAATAATCCAATTTGATAATAATCCAATTTAATGAATAATAATCCAATTTGATAATAAAAAAACCTAATATTAATGAATAATAATCCAATTTGATAATAAAACCTAATATTAATAAAATAATAAATAACATTAAACATATTAAAATTATCCTAGGGAATAATTATACAACATTACTTAATTACTTAAAAAAATTAACATGTAATTGTTAACATTACTTAATTACTTACAAAAATTAACATGCAAGTATTAATTACTTAAAAAAATTAACATACGAGTCCACACAAATTTATTTGTTGTTGTATAAATTATAATAATATAAATATAAGTTTGTAAACTTACCTTAAATATGGAACCCTTTGTGTTCAAGCTTTGGAATGGATCTGGAATGGCTTTGAAAGGGGTAAGGGAAGAAGAAGAAACGAAAATCCTCTGAATGACTCTGATACTCCACCTCTGAGAATGTGAAAGAATAGAATAATTATATATAACATTACTTAATTACTTCAAAAAATTAACATGTAATTGTTAACATTACTTAATTACTTACAAAAATTAATATGCAAGTATTAATTACTTAAAAAAATTAACATACGAGTCCACACAAATTTATTTGTTGTTGTATAAATTACAATAATATATAAATATAAGTTTGTAAACT